TATGAGAATAAAGTCGTAAAATTACGAGAATAAAGTCGTAAAATTATGAGAATAAAGTCGTAAAATTACGAGAATAAAGTCGTAAAATTAGGAGAATAAAGTCGTAAAATTACGAGAATAAAGTCGTAAAATTACGAGAATAAAGTCATAACATTACGAGCATAAAATTGCAAAATTACGACAATAAAGTCGTAACATTACGAGAATAAAGTCCTAAAATTACGCGTATAAAGTCCTAAAATTACGATAATAAAGTCATAATATTACGAGCATAAAATCATAAAATTACAACAATTAAGTCGTAACATTACGAGAATAAAGTTATAAAATTACGAGAATATAGTTGCAACAAGAATAGTCATGAAATTATGAGAATAAAGTCATAACAGTACGAGAATAAAGTTATTAAATTACGAGTATAAAGTCATAAGATTACGAGATTAAAGTCATAAAATTATGAGAATATAGTTGCAACGAGAATAAAGTCATAAAATTACGAGAATAAAGTCGTAAAATTATGAGAATATAATTGCAACGAGAATAAAGTCATAAAATTAGGAGAATAAAGTCCTAAAATTATGAGAAACAAGTTGTATTTTATGACAACTCTAACAAGAAGCAATTTCTTCCCTAAAATGAGGAATGTTGAGCATCACGTGAAGTTATGATAAAGTAAAAAACAAGTAAAAATGAAAATATAGGACTAATTTTACAGCAGAATATACTAAAGTATATCCATGTCTATTGAAGGGGAGGAACAGTGGTGGATCTAGACCAAATGTACGAGGGGGCCACGAGGGGGCCAGCATGTTTTCATGGGGGCCCAGAAAAGCATGAAATAAAAAACAGGGCAAGGGATTCAAATATATAAAGAGAGCTGCATGAAGTGAAATGTCTTTTCAATGAGGTTCAATAAAAATTCTATTTCTTATGAAGTCGATATACATTTATAATTTAGGAATTTTACATAATTTTGACTTCATTTAAGTTAAAAAATACCGTTTTCTATAAAAACTGTTAAATTCATCGGTAAAAATTAAAGCTTTTTTTTGTTTGTTGTGAAAAAAAAAATACATTTAGCAGATGAAAACTGGGATCCTATCTCAATACCACTGAAGCTATCGCCTTATTGTTTCTGAATAATTAGTAAAACAGAATTTGTAAAGAGAAAAAATGAAATAGATCATATCAGTAACCATGTCTGTTCCAGCGCAGATCATCATTAGAATTTCTTTTAAGAATTATGTCTTCAGTAAAGGGGCCATAACATGAGCCACAGGGGCACTGGCCCCCCGTTGGCCCCTGTCTAGAACCGGCCATGGTGAGAAATGACAATGATGGCGAGGTGCACTGTATGCTGAAGTCCCATGAAAAACAGAAAGCACAACCGATGTTCAAGGCTACAAGATTGAAAATATTAAAAATAAAAGACCAATACTGCTCTGTGTTTAAGAAATTACTGTTAGTTAATAAACAGTTGTTGAAAATTAGCTTAGCGGTATTAATAACCTCAGCTTATAGATTTAGAGGTTTAGCTGCCTCCGAAGGTGGAATATTTTCTGAGTTATCTGTCTTTATTATTTGAAAAATTATATTAAAATCAAATTATTAGCGTAAACTCAGCTGTAAAAACGGAAACATTTAGCAATAAAGTTTCGGCTAGCTTACCTGTTAGCTCCGGTTACGATAACAACTTTCTCCATGTCTGAGTGAATTTGGAGATAAAAGAGAGAAAAAATGGGGGGAAGCTCCTAAAGTTTGTGTTTATTCACTGTGTGAGCAGCTGGACAGCCCATCGTCCGATTCCTCACAGAGGATATGCAGCAGTATAAACCGTGGTATGATTGGATGTCAACAGAAAGCTAGCCAATCAGCTACCGCTACGGCAAGTCCAAAAGTCCAAAACAGTCAGAGGGCGCGGATTCATTTAAAGGGAACCTGTTCCAAAAAAAAAAATCAACTTTCATTGAAACCTGCTACGATCTCAACTCAGAAGGAAAAATATATACGGTATATATTTTGCTAATAGTTTAATTTCTTTTTTTTTATTATTTCTAAAATACATGCAGCAACTTAGCTATATACAGTATTTGGATTCTTACAGCAGTAAAAAAACAAGAACAAACATGTTTGTAAAACATTTCAGAATACAACATCATCCTGTCATGTCATCTGACTGCTTAAAATTAACTCAACATAAAACACAAATATTAAATAACCTGTTAAAAAAAAATAACAAAAAAATTCTCACATTGTATCCACAATCTACATCGTATTTCATTGGGATGTTATGTGATTATCCATCACAAATTAAAACAACAATGTAAAAAGGAAGGAAAATAAAATTTTTCTAACCGAAAGAGGGGCCATTTAAAAAATATCAAAAGGCATATAAGAGGAAGAAAAGGCTTTATTGCTGTTGTAGCCTACAGGAAACAACAAAATATCGCTCATCTATCGCAGAATCTCTTCTTAGCTTACGCTCTTGGGATCC